CCCGCCCGCCCCAGGCCTGGCCACCAAACGCCTCCCATTGGTCAAAAGCGAGACCCAGCGCAGCCGAACTTGACGCACCCGCCCGGACGCACCGCCCACGCGGCTCCGCGGGTGGCCCAGCCAATCACCGCTGGGCGCGCCGAGCTTTATCTGCATGACCACGCCCCTCACTGGATGCCCGACCAATAAGAGGGTTGAGAAGCGCTCATTAGCATAGAGGGCGGGGCGGGCTGGGGCGGTTGGTTGGAGCGTCGCCGCATCCCAGGTCCGGGGAAAGTTTCTTTGGAGGTGAAAACAGCCGGGGAAGTCGGGGCCCTGCGCGGGGCGGTGGCCGGGGCGCAGCCGGGGTGCAGCGGGGCTTCGCCCGGGGCTGTCGGGGTACGCAGTCCGGTCTCTCAGGGCTCGATTTCCAACAAAGGACCGCAGGGCCGCCCGCCCCGGAGCACCTCCCCTGCCCCGGGATCCGCCTCCCCCACTCGGGAATCCGGGTCTGGGGTTCCCATCCGGGTTCCGGGCGGGACCCCTCGACCTCTGCACGCATCTGTGTTTCAGGTCTCACCCCGAGAGGCCATGTCCCACGGTCCCAGGCAGCCAGGCGCTGCCACCGCGTGAGTGCGCCACCCACAGCCTTGTCTCCACCCCAGGGGACCCCGAGTTTTGCATCATCCCCACCCCGGGTACCCTTGGATATGCTCCGTTTCCATCCCTGAGACCCCCGGTCTGTCCTGTCGCTAACCCCTGATGTGTCTTGTCGTCGCCCCTGGGAGCCCCTACTTCTGCTCTGCACCCCCCCATACACCGGGAACCTTTCGTCATGCACTGTTCTTGTCCCCGGGACCCCTGGCCATGTCCTGTCCCCACCCGTGGATCCTCAGGGATCCGTAGCTCTAGGTTCTGGAATCCCTTCAGCTGTGCCATGCGCTCCCTCTGGCCTTCCCCAACACCCCATCCTGCTCCTAGCCTCGAGTAATCTCACTCCCCTCCCAGACCTGCAGAACCCACAAGTGGTCTATTGTGACTCCCAATCCTGATCCCTCAGGTCCCTTCCATTTCCCTACAGCCTTCATGCTCCCTTGTACCTTGGGGGGGGGGGGGCCGGCTCCAGCCATGTGAAGTGGATGAGTTTGGGGTGAAGCTCTTGGCACTGGGGGATGGGGGTGACCCTTGTGTCCCATGTCCCCAAGGCCTGCGGGAGGCAAGGCTCCGGGCCAGCATGGGGGCTTCGTGGTGGCTGTCAAACAGGAGCGTGGTGAGGGGCCCCGAGCTGGAGATAAGGGGCCCCAGGAGGAGGAGGTGAGCCCCTTCCTACTCAGTACCTCCCCCACATGAAAGCCTGGCCCTTGCCATGCCCCTAGCAGGTCCACCAAGTATAGGCCCCGCCCACCACCGATCAATCCTGTCTAGTCTTTGTCCTCAACCTCGCTCTCTAGAAGACTTAGTCCTGGTCGCCCCCGCCACCCCTGGTCCTCATCTAATCTATAGGCTTCTATAGCAGCCCCGCCTCTGAGCTAGGCCCCGCCCACATGCCCAGAGGCCCCGCCCCGGCCCTGCAGGCCCCTCCCAAGGATGCAGCCCTTTTCTGCAGCCTGTGAAGAAGAGAGGCTGGCCCAAAGGCAAGAAGCGCAAGAAGATTCTCCCGAATGGGCCCAAAGCCCCGGTCACCGGCTACGTCCGCTTCCTGAACGAGCGAAGGGAGCAGATCCGCACTCGCCATCCTGACCTGCCCTTTCCAGAAATCACCAAGATGCTGGGCGCCGAATGGAGCAAGCTGCAGCCGGCAGAAAAGCAGGTGGGCTGCAAGGCTGGGATCCCAGCACCCAGGAGGCTGAGGAAGGAGGACCACAATTGTGTGGTCATGAAAACTCCCAAGTCCCGGGGATTAATTTCAGAGCTGTATAACAGGGGCTGGGGCGATGCTCAGTCTTCAGTGCCATCACTAGGACTCGAGTTTGATCTGGGTGTCACATGCCTGTAATCCCAGTGTTGGGAAGGTGGAGATGGGGGATCACTGGGGTTATTGAACAGACAGTTACCCCAGTCTGTGAGCCCCAGGTTCAGTGAGAGACCCCAAAATACACAACACACAAAAGACACGAGACACACAAATCGCATAAATAGGGAAGAAGTATTACACCAGCCTCCACCAAGCACCTGTTGGAAGTGGGATTTCAGGGGGCAGAAGGGGAGGGAGGGAAGACTCCATCATGACCAGGAGTGCTTTCCAAGGGCCCTAGGGAAGGGGGGGGAGGGGGAGCAATAGAAGTTTCCACAGAGAGGGAGGACATAACCAGACTAGGTGGTCCTGGTCCTGAATACCTGCCTTGTTGTGGGCTGGTCTTGGCTGTGGGTGCTGCCCTGAGTCTGTGGGTGCGGTTCTGACCCCACCCCCCAGAGATACCTGGATGAGGCGGAAAAGGAGAAACAGCAGTATTTGAAGGAGCTGCGGGCATACCAGCAGTCCGAGGCCTACAAGGTCTGCACAGAGAAGATTCAGGAAAAGAGGATAAAGAAAGGTGGGTGGGGCCTTGAGGCTGCTGTGTGGGGTGCTGTCCCCACCCAGGCAGGAGCCCCCAGAACTGTATCGAGAACAAGGGTTCACCTAGAGCCAAGATAGGGGTGCAGGTGGGGAGCTGGGCCTGGGCATGTTGATAGAGAGGGTCTAGCAAAAGGAAAGTTCTGGAATCCAGCTGACCTGTCCTCCTTCCTCCCATCAGAGGACTCCAGCTCTGGGTTCATGAGCACACTCTTCAATGGACACAAGGTAAAGGAGGGTTTGAAGGTTTCTAGGCACCCCAATAAACAGGAACCATGTTCACAGCAGGAAGTGTGGGCCTCTAAGATCACTAGCCAGAAACACTGCACCCTGTGGGGATGTTGAGTGGATAGGGTGGGAGGGCTCAAGGGTGAACTTGCCTTGTAGGCACAAGACCAAGACTACACACATACACACACACACACACACACACACACACACACACACACACACACTCCTCACTGAATTTTTCCTTTCTTTTTGAGACAGGGTCTCATGTAGCCCAGACTGGCCTCAAATTCCCTACATAGCAGAGGATAACCCTGAACTGGCAGTATCAATCTCCCTGCCTCAGCCTCCAAAGTATGAGACTACGGTTGTGAGCCACCATGCCCAGCTTAAAAATATTCAGTAAGGGCAAACCACAGTGGGTAGAATGCTTGTAACTCAGTGGGTAGAGTGCTTGCAGCTCAGTAGGCAGGGCTTGCCCAGCATGCATAATGCCCTGGGTTCATCTTGTAAGCCAGGCATGGTGGCACACACCTGTCATCCCAGCACTTGGGAGGTAGAGGTAGGAGGATCAGGAGTTCAGGGTCATCCTTTGCTACATAGTGAGTCGGAGGCCAGCCTGGGCTACAGGAGTCACTGTCTCTAAAAAAAAAAAAAAAAAAATCCTGGTGTTTACCCCAAGTGCCCCAGGAGCCCCTCCCAGACTCCAGAGCTGTGACCCCACCAAACTCACGGCCCCTTGTCACAGGGTGTGGACTGCGATGGCTTCTCCACCTTTGATGTCCCCATCTTCACTGAAGAGTTTTTAGACCAAAATAAAGGTGAGATTTCCGCAGGTGCTGGTGTGCCATTGGAGGAAGTGGAGATGGGAGAGGTGGAGATGGTGGAGGAGGAAGGATGGAAAGGGTGGTGGGGAAGAGGAGAGATGGATGGATGAGAAGAGGAGAGAAGGAGGGATGAAAGATGGAGGGACTGACAGGAGGAGGAGGAGAGTGGAGGAGGATGAAGGGGAAGGATGGAGGTGGAGGGTGGAGCCAAGTGGAGGATGGAGACGGAGGAGGAGGAGGGATGGAAGACGGTGGAGGAGAGTGGAGAAGGATGATGGAGGAAGATTGGAGGAGGGTGGAGTGGGGTGGAGGATGGCAGCTCCGGTTCTGACCGCCCCTCCCTGGCCTCAGCGCGGGAGGCGGAGCTGCGGAGGCTGCGGAAGATGAACGTGGCTTTCGAGGAGCAGAACGCGGTGCTGCAGCGCCACACGCAGAGCATGAGCAGCGCGCGCGAGCGTCTGGAGCAGGAGTTGGCGCTGGAAGAGCGGCGCACGATGGCGCTGCAGCAGCAACTACAGGCCGTGCGCCAGGCGCTCACCGCCAGCTTCGCCTCGCTGCCAGTGCCGGGTGCGCAGGCCCCGCCCCTCGGCGCACCACCCGTCTTGGCTCCTAAGCCCCGCCCGTACCCAGACCCTCCCCTCCCCCCCTGGCCCCGCCCCCTGCGCCCTGCTGACCCGCCCCGTCCGCAGGCACCGGGGAGACGCCGACGCTCAGCACGCTGGACTTCTACATGGCGCGGCTGCACGGAGCCATCGAGCGGGACCCCGCGCAGCACGAGCGGCTTATCGCGCGCGTCAAGGAGATTCTGGCACGGGTGGCCAGGTGGGGGGCAGGGGGCGGGGCAGGGGTGCAGTAGGTGCAGGCATGGGTGAGGGGGTCCAGGCTGGCCGTCTTGGGTCCCCACTATCCCCTTCTCTTGCGCAGTGAGCACCTGTGATGGCAGACCCCGGTCCCGGAGACGCAGTTCTGATCGCCGCTCCCCTCTATTCCTCTCTGCCATAGGTGAAGCTGGGGGTCCCCAATGGGGCCACGCCCATGCTGCCCCTGTCATTAAATCTCAAGAGCACCCCTATAGCTTCGCACCCCAGGTCGCAGAGCTCAGGAGACCCGCGCCTCCTGGGACTGCCACACTACGGAGGGACAGAAATGGGGAGCGGGGCACACCCCTCACACTGTGGGATCCCAGATTGCTCACCACAGGGCTGGGGGACACAGGCTTGGGGGCAGGGTGACCTGTCACAGCCAGGGGAGACTGGGGTCCACCCCCCCAAGCTATATGGAATTTTAAAATAAAAATTCTTGCTATGGGATTTTTTGTATGCAGTTTGGAGGACTGTGGGCCAGAAACTGTACCCCAACCCTTCCTCACCAGGATCCAATATCTGGCAGAGGATCTCAGAGCCTTCACTCTCCCGTTATCAGATGGAGAAACTGAGGCAGAGTTGGACTGGGCTCCCCCATGAATGCACACCTTCCTCTGTGGGTTCAGAAGGGATGTGGCATTCCATTTTCCACTCACTCTGGTCTGGATTCCAATCCATTTCCTCATGAACTTCACAGCTTTAACACTTCAGCACACTACATAAGGTTCTGGAACCATCAATCCATGTAGTTCTAGAACATTCCCAGAAGCCTTCAGCCCATCTTTAGCCCCTCTGCACTAAGGCATCTACTTCCTGTCTCTGGAATCCCCTGTGCTGGACATTTCCTGTGATGGAGCCCCCTCCCACTCTGGCCTTTTGTGTCTATATCTCTCACTAAGTTCTGTCAAGGTCACTCCATGCTGTAGGGTGGGGTCAGAACCTCACTCCTCTTCTGAGCTGAGTAATATTCCAGTGTGTGTCTGGACCATCCATATATTCCAGGCTGTGGCAAATTACTGGTTCCTGTCTGATCATCTATTTTGACTTTGAGACACTGCTAGTTGCCTAATATTGTGGATAGTAACTCTAACACATGCCTGAACAATTTGATGCACACATGCGCAGTGCCAATGAATTGTATTCCAAAAAAAATGTGCTCTAGTCTTCACCCCAGAATCTCCAAGCACAACCTTATTAGGGCTTAGGGTGCTGGCAGTGTAATAAGCTATGATGAGGTCATGTTTGAGCAGGGTGTGGCCAGGCACAGAGCCAATAACGGGTGTCCTTACAAGAGAGAAAAGTTGGACATACACAGAGGCCATGCCTGTGGGACAAGGGAGGTGGACTGCCAGCAGCTGCCCAAAGGTTCCAGAGCCTTGGAAGGGTGCCTTCCAGGAACCCTGGAGCAGGGCAGCCTGGGTGGCTCAGAATTCCAGACTCAAGAACGGGAAGTGAGTATCTTCCCCCTGAGTTTGGTGGTGTTTTATTTTGTTTTGTTTTAAGACAGGGTATCACAGGCTGGCCTTGAACTCACTGTGTAGCCAAAGATGGACCTCAAACTCTTGCTCTTGCTCCTCCTGCCTCCACCTCCAAAAAGTTCCAGCATGGCAGGTGTGCACCACCATACCTGGCTTCTCCTATTTTTTAAATTTTTTATTTATTTTTATATTATGTGTACAGGTGTTTTGCCTGCATGTGTGTAAGTGTACTGGTGTCATGCAATGTCCACAGAGGTCAGAAGAGGGTGTCACATCCTCTGGAACTGAAGTTATGGATGGTTGTTAGCTGCCATGTGGGTGCTGGGAATCAAACCCAGGTCTTCTTCAAGAACAGCTAGTGCTCTTAATCACTAAACCAGCTCTCCAACCTCCAAAAGTACCATTTATTTATTGATTTATTTTTTATTGAGCCAAGTGTGGTATTGCACACCTTTAATCCCAGCACTCAGGAGGCAGAAGCAGATAGATCTCAGTGAGATTGAGGTCAGCCTGGTCTACATAGTGAGTTCCAGGACAGCTGAGGCTACAAGGAGACTGTCTTAAAAAAAAAAAAAAAAAAAAAAAAAAATGAAGGCCAGGATGGTAGTGTAAATAGTGTAAGCCTGTCTTCCAGGGCACTTGGGAAGCTGAGGCAGGAGGATGAAAAGTTAAAGGCCATGAGACTGGAGAGCTGGCTCAGAGCTTTTGCGGGGGTTTGTTTCCCAGCACCCACAGAACAACTAACAACCGTCTATAACTCCAGTTCCAGGGGAATTCGACACCCTCTTCGGACTTCCACAGACATTACACAACACGGCTGCACTTACACACATACGGCAAAACACCCACACACATAAAATAAAAATAATAAATAAAATCTAAAAAAAATAGTATTTAAAAACCTTAAACCCCAGTCTGGGCAGCTTAATGAGACCCTGTGTCAAAATAAAAAGTAGGGCTGTGGCTCAGTACATAGAGCGCTTGTAGCTCAGTGGGTAGAATGCTCATCTAGCATGCATAGTGCCCTGGGTTTATCCCCAGACCATGTAAACTAGGTATGGTGGCATACACTGGTCATCTCAGCACTCCAGAGGAGGAGGTAAGAGGATCAGGCCTTCAAGGTCATCCTCAGCTACATAAGTTCAAGTCCAGACTGGGCTATGTGAGAGCCTATCTGTCAAAAAAAAAAAAAAAAAAAAAAAAAAGGGGGAGAAAAACAGTATGTACAAGAGATGGTGGCAGATGAGAGGGAAATTATTCAGAGCTCTGGGGAGGACACAGCGAAGGCTGGGGGAGGGCAAGTTGGAGCCTGGTGTGTTGGAGGAGCTGAGGGAGCCAGGGACAGAGAGGGAGGACTTCCCGGGGGAGGATGGGCAGGGCCCTGTGGGGCTGCAGAGAGGACTCAGGCTTCGACCCCGACGGGGGAGGGGGCATGGAGGGCAGAGGGAGGGGTGCGGATCTTCTGATGGTGTCCCCGCATTTCTTAAGACACTACTTGACGACTCTGGCCGAAGGAGCGAGCTGGGGCACTGAGCTGTCCCTCGGTTATCCGTGGTTCCCTGGGGAGGGCGCAGTTGGCTCTGGCAGGTCCCAGACACCTGTCCCCCCTCCACCCCACCCCCGCATCCCACGGTGTCAACTTCCCGGGCTGCTCGGGTTCCCGGATCCCCTTACCCCGGGCGGCTCGCCTCTCCCTGGGCCTGTGTGGGGGAGGGAGGGTTGCAGGAAGCGGAGGATCCGGCTGCAGCGGGGGCCAGGGTGGGTGTCCGAGCTGCTAGGCCATGGAGAACGCTGCACCCTGCGAGCCCGGGGCCGCGGAGCCTCCCGCAGCCCGCACGAGGCCGCGCCTGGTGTTCCGCACGCAGCTGGCGCACGGCAGCCCCACGGGCCGGATCGAGGGTTTCACCAACGTCCGCGAGCTCTACGCCAAGATAGCGGAGGCCTTCGGTATCTCGCCCACCGAGGTGAGCACCCAGCACCTCGAAACAACACCCTGCACCGGACCCCCGGGTCCCGGAGTCGAGGTGGGGATGCAAATAAGATCTCAGGGGTGCAGAACTCAGATGCAGGGGTGCCACTCCCCCGGGGACCCCCGTCTTCACACACTGCGTGGAAAGATGGGTAGATCTTGGGGTGGGGGAAGTCCCTATATCTATCAAGGACCCCACGGTGCAGGCTGAGCGGTCCGAGAAGCGCTGCCTGGGTTCCTGAGTGTGCCAGAGTGAAGGAGGGCGGTGCTGGGCAGTGCTGTCTTTTGAACAAAAGTTCGAGGGGATGAGTGCTTGTAGTCTAGTAGGTAGAGTCCTTGTTGCTTAGTGGGCTGAGCACGTGTACCTCAGTGGGTAGAGTGCTTGAGGCTCAGTGGAAAGAGAGTGCTTGTGACCCAGTGGGGAGAGTGCTCAACTAGGAAGCCCTGGGTTCATCCCCAGCACCCAACAAACCAGCCATGGTGGTGTGCATACCTGTCATATGGCACTCTCGAGGTGGAGGAAGGAAGTTCAGGAGTTCAGACCATCCTTGACTATGCAGTAATTTAGAAATCAGCTTGGGCCACAGTAGACCCTATCTCAAAGAAAAAAAAAAAAAAAACAAGACTTAATGGTGTGCATCTAATCCTAGCACTCCAGAAGGCTAAGATAGGATTTCAAGTTGTGGCCAGCCTGGGCTAAAAGAGATTCTGTCTCAAAAAAATTTTTAGCGAGGCATGGTGACACACACCTTCAGTCCCAGCACTTGGGAAGCAGAGGCAGGTGGATCTCTGTGAGAACAAGGGCACCCTGGGAGACCCTGTCTCAAAAACATGTTTTCATTCAGCCTGGGGTGGTGGCATATGCCTTTAATCCCAGCACCAGGGAGTCAGAGGCAGAGGGATCTCTGTGAGTTAGAGGCCAGCCTGGTCTACATAGCCAGTTCCAGGCCAGCTGGGGCTACAGAGAGACGCTGTCTCAAAAAGACCAAAAAAAAAAAATTTTTTTTTATTCATCTGTCTTTTAATTTTTTTTAAGATTTACTATTTTAGTGTTGTGTGAGACTGTGCAGGTGTTCATGAACACCAGAGGCCTCAGATCCCCTGGAGAGTTATAGGCAGTTGTGAGCCACTAAGCACAGGTGCTGGGAATCGAACTCTGAGAGCATGTGATCTTAAACACCATCTATAAAAACCCCGATTCATAACATTTCATTACATTGTAATTTATTTAGTGCATGTAGGGTGGGCACCAAAGCCACATGTGGAAGTCAGAGGACAACTTGTAGGAGTGGATTCTTTCTACCCTGTGAATCCCAGGGATCAAATCAGGTTGTCTGACTTGATGGCAAGCTCCTTTCCCCCACTGAACCAGCTTGCCGGTCCCCATTTATTTTTGTTTATTCTTTGTATTTTATTATTCTTATTTTATGTGTATGAGTGTTTTGTCTGAATGTATATAAGTGCACTTGTGTCGTGCAATGCCCGATGACATCAGAAGAGAGCGTCGGATCCCCTGGAACTGGAATTATACACGGTCGTTATCCACCATGTGGGTGCTGGGAATCGAACCCAGGTCCTCTGCAAGAGCAGCCAGTGCTCTTAACCGCTGAGCCATCTCTCCAGAACCTTTGTTTATTATTTAAATTAAGATAAGGTTTCCCTCTCCACCCACACTGGTCTGGCAGAAGTCCTTTTTACAGGTGGGGAGTCGCGGCTGGGGTTGACCTACTCTTTAACCAGGGCACATGCACTTTGAGGCCCGCAGGGGGCACTCGCAGAACCCGATCTTCCCAAGAAACATGTTCGAGCTCAGAAAGGAATCTGGGAGTGCGACAGGGTCCCCGTTCCTAGCCCTGCTGCCAGTTCAGAGTCTCTTGGGGCCTCAGTTTCCCCATCAGGCCTCAGCACCCATCACTCAGCGGCTTGTGAGCAGTAAGGTGAGCCATCCACGGTTAACGCTGGGTCCTCTCTCCGCACAGATTTTATTCTGCACCCTCAATAGCCACAAAGTTGATATGCAGAAACTTCTAGGGGGCCAGATAGGGCTGGAAGACTTTATCTTCGCACACGTACGAGGAGAGACTAAGGAAGTGGAGGTCACGAAGACGGAGGATGCGCTGGGACTGACCATCACAGACAACGGGGCGGGATACGCCTTCATCAAGGTGCATCCAGCGTGCGTGGGTGGGGACTCCATCCCTGGCCCTCTGGGGTCTAAGGAGGTAATGGGGGGGGGAAGCAAGCCAAGAGTGATTCACACACCCCAAACTTTCACTGGGGGATTCTAGGTTGTCCCTCTACCCCTGAGCCACATCCCCAGCCATAGAGTCACCAACAGACTGAATCGGGAAAACCATGAGTTTAAGGTTAGCCTGGGTAAGAGAACAAGGCCCTGTGCTTTCTCCCCCAGAGAATCAAGGAGGGCAGCATCATCAACAGAATCCAGGCCGTGTGTGTGGGTGACAGCATTGAGGCCATCAATGACCATTCCATCGTGGGCTGCCGGCACTACGAGGTGGCCAAGATGCTTCGAGAACTGCCCAAATCCCAGCCCTTCACCCTGCGCCTGGTACAGCCCAAGAGAGCCTTCGGTGAGGACCCCTGGGTCCCTGAGAACTCAGAAAGGGTGGCAAGGGCCAGAAGTAGTTTTCTGAGACTGCCTCTCATCTCCTGAAGCTCCTGGGCCCCTGTGCTAAGCATCAACCCACCCCGGCCTCCACTCACTCCATAGCTGGAGCTCCCCAAGCGAGGACAGCCACACTTGTCCCAAGACATTGTTCGGGATTCTATGGGGAAAAAAAAACCCTCACTGGGGACTCTAGGCTGTCACTCTACCCTGAGCCACGCCCCCAGCCCCTCACTGGGGATTCTAGGCTGTCACTCTACCATGAGCCACGCCCCCGGCCCCTCACTGGGGATTCTAGGCTGTCACTCTACCCTTGAGCCATGCCCCCAGCCCCTCACTGGGGATCCCAGGCTGTCACTCTACCCTGAGCCACACCCCCCAGCCCCATCAGGAGACTGAAGCAGGAAGACCATGAGTTCAAGGCCAGCCTGGGTTACAGAGTAAGGTCCTTTCTGAAAAAGGAGATGGAAATAAAAAGCACAGAAAACAGAATGCATACCTGTCCTTCCTTTGTCCCTTCAGATATGATTGGTCAGAGGAGTCGGAGCAGTAAGTGGCCAGTGGAAGCTAAAGTGAGCAGCGGGAGAGAGACCCTGCGCCTGCGCTCTAGGGGCCCAGCCACAGTGGAGGAAGTGGTGAGTGGTAGGATGGAGGCTTCTTGAGTTCTTTTCTAAGTTTTTAATTTTTAAAATACTTATTATTTTTATTTTATGTGTATGTGTGTCCTGCCTACATGTATGTAAGTGCACTTGTGTTGTGCAATGCCAGCAGAGATCAGAAGAAGGCTTTGGATTCCCCTGGAACTGGAGTTACAGATGGTTGTTAGCCACCATGTGGGTGCTGGGCATCAAGCCCGAATCAAACTCTAGTCCTCTGTAAAAGTAGTCACTGTCAGTGCTCTTAACTCCTGCGCCATCTCTCCAGCCCCAAGTTTTTAGATTTTTATTTTATTCTGCTGTGTGGGTTTTTTTTATGACAGGGTCTTCTTGCAACCCCAGTGTAGCTCAGGCTGGCCTCAGTCTCACAGAGATCCACCTGCCTCTGCCTCCTGAATGCTGGTATTAAAGATGTGTGTCACTGCATCTAGTCCCCAAAACTTTTATTACATTTACTTATTATTTAAGTATATTTATGTATATATATTGTGTGTGTGTGTGTGTGTGTGTGTGTGTGAATATGTGGAGGTCAGAGGACAACTTTCAGAAGTCAGTCCTCCACTTCCATCACATGGGTCCCAGGGATCAAACTCAAGTATTCAGACTTGGTGGCAAGCTCCTCTACCTGCTGAGCCTCTCACTGATCCTCTCCACTTATACAGCGTCTTTCACTGAGTGTGGAGTGCGGCAACTGGGCTGTGGTGGCAGGGCAGGGGGCCCAGGGACCCACCGTCTTAGCCCAGCACTGGAACACCTTTTCTTTCTTTTTTTTTTTTTTTTTTTTTTTTGGTCTTTTTGAGACAGGGTCTCCCTATAGTCCCAGCTGTCCTGTAACTCACTATGTAGACCAGGCTGTCCTTGAACTCACAGAGATCCACCTGCCTCTGCCTCCCGAGTGCTAGGATTAAAAGTGTGCGCCACCACACCCAGCCTGGAATACCTTCTCTTAAAGTTTATTATTGTAGCTGGCATGGTGGTGCACAACTTTAACCCCAGCACTTGGCAGAGGCAGGCAGATTTCTGTGAGTTCAAGGCCAGCCTGGGTTACATAGAGAATTCCAGCCCAACCTGGGCTACACAAGGAGACTCTGTCTAAATAAACAAGTATTTGGTCTTATTTTTTCAACCTCCTCTTCGTCCCCCAAGCTCGCTGCTCCCCTCCTCTTTCCTCCTGGCTCCCTTTCTACTCTCATATCTTTTTTTAAGGATCCAGTGAGTTTCCTGAGGGCTGTGAGCTGGAGCAGGGCAAACGACTGCCCTTAGAGCTGGGAGAGGCAGGGCCTCGTGAGTCCCTCCCCCTAGTAACAGTTTACTGTCTATCAGTCCTCAGGGAGGGGTGGGCCTCCTAGTCCCACTCCTTAGCAATCTTCAGAGAGGGGTGGGGTCTAAGTCCATAACAAGCATCAGTGGGGGAGGGGCAGATCCTCCTAATCCATCCCTTTAGCAACCATAAATTATCTATCAATTCTCAGAGAGGCATGGGACTTCCTAGTTCCTCCACGTAGTAGGGTTTTTTTTTGTTGTTGTTGTTTTTGGTCTTTTTGAGACAGGGTCTCCCTGTAACCACAGCTGGCCTGGAACTCACTATGTAGACCAGGCTGGCCTTGAACTCACAGAGATCCGCCTGCCTTTGCCTCCCACCCAAGCGCTGGGATAGTAATTAACTGTCTATCAATCCTCCTGGAGGGACCGGATTCAAGTTCATCCCCTCCAACCACTGTCAGTGGAGAGGAACGGGGATTCCTTGCCCCGCCCCAACTTGTCACTTGTACCCTGTGTCCCACGCAGCCCAACGACTTTGAGGAGGAGGCGTCCCGCAGGGTGGATGACCTGCTGGAGAGCTACATGGGCATCAGGGACCCCGAGCTGGGTAAGGGGCCAGGGTAAGCTCGGGTCGCGGGAGCCCAGGGAGGAGCGGGGACAACAGGGGACCCCAGTCCACCCTTGCTCACCCGTGGTCCCCCACAGCGGCCACCATGGTGGAGACGTCCAAGAAGACGGCGGGCGTGCAGGCGTTTGCTCGCTGCTTAGACTCCGTCTTGGGCGAGTTCGCCTTCCCGGACGAGTTTGTGGTGGAGGTGTGGGCGGCCATCGTGGAGGCTCGCGAGGCCTGTGGCTAGTGTGTCCCCGGGTGCGCAGCCCCAGCCCGGAGCCCAGCTCTCCGCAGCAGCCCTGTTCCAGAGCCCAGCCCCGGCCCAGCGCCAAGGCACAGCCCTGCTCTAGACCTCAGGACCGACCGGAAACCCAGCCCAGAACCCAGCCTGTCCCAGAGACCCAGCCCAGAACCCAGCCTGTCCCAGAGACCCAGCCCAGTACCCAGCCTGTCCCAGAGATCCAGCCCAGTACCCAATCTGTTCCAGAGACCCAGCCCAGTACCCAGCCTGTCCCAGAGACCCAGTCCAGAACCCACACCCACACTGAGACCCAGCCCAGAACCCAGGCCCACCCTGAGACCCAGCCCAGAACCCAGCCTGGCCCAGAGACTAAGCCCAGCTCTAGAACCCAGGTTGGCTCTGAAGCCAAGCTTTATTCTAGAATCGAAGGAAGCTCTGAAGCCCAGCCTGGCTCTGGGACCAAGCCTCATTCTAGAATTCAGGGTGAGGCCCAGTTCAGTTCTAGAACCCAAAGCAGGTCTGGTATCAAATTTAGCCCTGAGACCAAGCCCATTTCCGGAACCCAGCCTACTTTGGAGGCCAAACTTGGAATCCTTGGGAGCTCTGATATGAAGCCTGGCTCTGAGCCTAAGCCCTGTTTCAGAACCCAGACTTGGCCTGACATCAAATTCAGCTTTGAGGCCCAGCCCAGCCCTAGAACCCAGCTTGGATCTGAGGCCAAGCTTTGTTCTAGGCCTCAAGCCAGCTCTGAAGTCGAGACTAGACCTGAAACCCAGCCCAGTTCTAGAACCCAGGACACTTCTGAGATCCAGCCCGACTCTAGAACCCAATCCTGTTCTAGAACCCAGCCCCCTCCTGACATGAAGCCATGCTTCAGAGCCCAGATGGCCTCTGAAGCTAAGCTTAGGTCTAGAATTCCATCAAGCCCTGCCATCCAGCCAAGTTCTGGAAGCCAGACAAGTTTTAAGACCCAGTTCAGCACAGATCTGGAATGCAGTTCTGGAGTGCAGCCCAACCCTGAGACCAAGCTCGGTCATGAAACTAGAGCTGCAGGCACCACTATGGCCCCATCTTCTTTGGCCCCTTGGAGTACCTCCTTGGCCCCTCGGAGCAATTCAGAGAGTCCAGCTCTCCTGGCACTCCAGGTCAGGTCCACCAAGCTGCCTGATAATGGAAGTCAAGGCCACTCCAGAAGCCAGCCATCTTCTAGACCTCTGGACAGCTCAGGACATCAGGTCCATTCTGCCCCACAGTCCAGACTCAGCCCTCAGTCCTGTACCCCAGCCGAGCCACTCCCCAGCACCTCCCACTGCCCTGCAACCCAGTCAGGCTCCAGTGACAAATGGAGCTCTGAGACTGAGCCTGGTAACAGAATGCAGCCCAGTGTGACAGGCAGGCCCAGCTCCAGAGGCCAGAAATCCTCACAACCACCACCCACCCCTGAAGCAAGGCGCAGCTCCAGAGTGCAGCTAGTCAGCTCTGGAGCAGAGCAGGCCAGTTCCAGAACACAGTCAGACTCTGGGACCCAGACAGACTTCCAGGGCTGGCCTGGTTCCAGAGCCCAGCTTGATTCAGGGGTCCATGTGTGCTCTGAAAACTTTTCCAGATCTAATGCAGAACCACTGGCAGGGACAGGGCCAAGCTCCAGAACTCTGTCTAGAGCTGAAGGCAGGGTGGGCACCGTTCCCCAGCCCTGCATGGATGCTCAAGCCTCTCTGGAGTGTCCACCTAGCCCTCCGGTCTCACCTAGCTTCAGAAAGCAGCTCCAGAGCACAGCTGGATCCAACCACATTCCCCAACTGGGTTCTAGAACCCAGTGCAGCCCCAGTGGTCCACTGAACACCAAGCCCGGCTCTGGAGTGCTTCTCAGCTCTGCCAGGCCCTTTAGCTCCATAGTCCAGTCTGCTTCCAGATTCGAACCCAGCTCCAGAGCCCAGGTTCTTTCTGGAACACAGGTCACTTCATCAGTCCAGCTCAGCTCTAGAAGCAGGCACTGCCCACAGTCCCCTGGCCTTGACACTACAACCCAGCCTGATCTGCCTGCCCCAGCCCTCCCTCAGTCCCTAAGTCCAACCCCCAGAATCCTAACCCCAGCCCCTGGCCAAACTCCTGAACCTCTGCCCATGATGGAGCCCAGGCTGGCCCCAGCCCAGCACTAGGCTTTCCAGGCTCCCACCTGGACCCCAGGCCCCATGTCCCCACCAGCCCCAAGAAGCCAGCCCTGTCCTCCAAACCCCAGCTAGGACCCCACAAGCCCACCTCTCTCAGGGTATCTGTCACCCCCAGTCCTGTTTCCAGAGCAGGGCTCAGTCTCTCCCCTGTGCCTGGGCTGCTCCCCAACCTTGAGTAGCTGGGATGGGATATTCTGGGGGGTTCCCATCCTTCTGCCCCTCCCAGCCCAGTGGACTTGTCCCCAGCAGGAGGAGAGGAGGGTGGAAGCTGAGGCTTGGGTTTCAGCTGGCTGAGATCTAGTCACAGAGGGGATAGGGAGGGAGGTGCACACAGGGACCAGACAGTGAATAAAGGCACCTTGCACATCCACAGCTAGTGCATCATTTGAGGGGAGTCTGCATGGAACTGGAGAGGGAGGCTGGGGCATGGATATTTGGATGCTTCATTAAGCACTTGCTGTATACCACAAGCAATTCACTGGTCATTCAACCATTTATTGAGTGTGTAATGTTTTAGACAGGTGTGTAGAAACCCAGGAGATGGGTGATCCCCACTCCTGGCAGTGGGAACTGGGGGCAATGCTCTCAACCCCCAAGGCTGACGACCCCTGGACCTGAGGAAAGTGAAGCCAGGGACCTCAGAGATAGACTTGGCAAGACAGGAGTGTTCCCCAACCTGTTCACAGTCCCAGCAAGGTTTGTCTGGCTTGGAGTCTGAGCTGGTCCCCAGTGTCCCTGGAAGAAAGTTTTTCTGAGGGAGCCCAATTTAGGAGGCTTCCTGCTAGGGAGGTACCCACGTTTTGAGCCTCCAATGTGTGCCCCAAGCACCACACCTGAGCAAGGAGTCATCCCTGGGGGATGGGGAGGGGTTTGGGGGATCATGGAGGAGTCCCTGGGTTTCAGAGAAGACTTTCCTGGTATGAGGGGGCAATCCTCCTGGTCCACAGGATTCAGCCCCATCTGATGTCTCCAGCCCTCTGTCTACAAGGCACTCGGGCTCCTGCCACACGGCACAGGCTGGCAATGGTCACAGAGGGCCCAAGGCTTGGGTCCTGTTGTCCTTCAAGGTTCACTGAGCATGTCCTGGGTTCGGGGCGGCCGCAAGGACAGAGCCCAGGGCCGGGAACTGAGGTGGGGGTGCAGGCGTCGCAGCACTGCTCGGCGGAAGAGGATATAGACCCAGGGGTCCAGGATCTGGTTCCATGTGGCCACACGCAGGAAGATAAGCAGCTGGTGTTCCGTGGCCTGGGACAACTGCCCCTCAGGGCTCATGACGGGGGGCGTCCGCAGTACAGTCTGCACAATGAAGACCTATGGGAACAGAGGGTCATAGTGTTGTGTGACCTCAGGGGATCACAGCAACCCCTCTGGGCTGCTCCTGAAGTGACCCGAAAGGAGTGCAGGCTTTCCTATTCTGGCTGAATTGAGGATTGTGAGAAAGGAGATTTGGAGGTAGGAGCAAGGTGGGTGGAGTGAAACTTTGTATCTAATACTGTGATTTAACAATATACTCTGAGCTACTTAATAGCATTTTGAGCCACGCCCCCAGCCCCTCACTGGGGATTCCAGGCTGTCACTCTACTGAGCCACGCCCCCAGCCCCTCACTGGGGATTCTAGGCTGTCACTCTACCCTGAGCCACGCCCCCAGCCCCTCAATGGGGATCCTAGGCTGTTACTCTACCAATGAGTCACACCTCCAGTCCCACTACCTGCCCCATTTTTGAGGCTGCCCTGGAACTCACTATATACACAAGGCTGGCCTCAGACTCACAAAGATCAGTCTGCCTCTGCTAGAATTAGAGGTGTATACTCTCATGCCCAGTTTCCTTTCCTTTTTTTTTTTTTTTTTTTGACAGGGTCTGTCTAGTCCCAGCTTTCCTGGAAGTCATGATGTGGACCAGGGTGGCCTCAATCTTGAAGAGATTCGCCTTTCTGCCTCTCAGGGTGGGACTAGAGGCACGCACCACCATGCCCAGCGTTTCTTTGACTTTTTATTTTTAGAGTCTAAGTTGCCTAGACTGGTCAGGATCTTTATCCTTCTGCCTAGGCCTCCTGAGTGCCTGGATCTCCTGCTCTCCCCTGCCTAGCTGAGTATCCACTTGGTGCTGGGTGAAGCCTTTGTACAGTCAGTGCTCAATCAATCAACGTTTGTTGCAGGACTAAGGCAATGACAATCTCATGTTGGTCTTAAACACTCCCACTCTTCTCCCTCCTATTAGCCAAGTCATCTGTGGAAGGACATCTGTACAGGACAGGGTCCAGGCCAGCACTGGGCACCCAGGGGGAGCAGGAAAACTCTAGTTCTCAGCCACCCTATCTATAATGTGCTCCCCAATCTTTTCTGGCAAGTGAACTATTTATTCCTCAAAGCCCCAAGTCTCACACCCAAGCCCACAGAAGATTTTCCCATTATATCCTGTGGATCCTTGAAGTACCCAAGTGCTTGCCCTCCCTCTGTGCTGAACACATTTTTCGGGTGATCTGTATGTTCCCCAAGAGCTCCAACATCCCAACTCACCAGCAGAGGCATCCAGCACACAGTGGCCACCATCATGATACCTACAAGTTGAATCATCATCTCCACCTCACAGTCCCGTGGGCGCTGCTGTGTGGCCTTTCGCCCATGGTAGACACGGCAGAGTGTGGCCACGCTGACTGTGTTGAGCAGAAAGGATAATCCCACTGACAGGCTGCCCAGCAGTGCAAACAGCAAGCCGAAGGCCACATCGCCAGGTTGGGCATCCAGAGTCAGAAAACACCAGGACCCAGGGTACTGGACTGTGTAGTGGCCAAGGCCCAGCAGGGGCAGGAGCCCCAGACCCAGGGCCACCAGCCATACCAGTACCACTGTGGCCCAGGCCCTGCGCGGGGAGGTCACTGTGGGTCGGGAGAAAGGCCAGGTGATGCCCACAAAGCGCTCAGAGGCCATGGCAGCTCCTAGAAGCAAAGGACACAGGCCAAAGAAAACCATGGCCACCCCCATGAAGTGGCAGAGACGACAGCTGGGGTCCACGGCCTGCCAGTCGAAGAGAGCAGCATGCTGGGACACTACAATTGCACCTGTGATGAGCAGCCCAAGAAAATCCGTGAGGACCAGGCCACACAGGAAGGTGAGAAAGGAGGAGCGTGGGGACGGTCCCCCTGCCTGCCGTGCTCCAGCCAGCACACTCAAGGCCAGCAGGTTGGAGGCCAGGCCCAGTACGCAGAAGGATGCAGCGAACCAAGGCGAGGCGATCAGATGTCGCTCCTCCAAAGTGATGTTCATGGGACGGAAACAGGGCCCTGGAGAACTGACATTGGGCCACATGGTTCTCCAGTCTGGTGGAATGATGGGTCACCACCCCATCAGGCACCGGTGGCTGGTGATGTTGAGCTGGGAAAGCTCCAGCAACTCCTGGGATACAGAGACAAAATTGGCTTGTTAGGGACTGGAGAGGTGGCTCAGCAGTCAAGAGCATTGCTGCCCTTGCACAGGACCCAGGTTCCTTCCAGAACCTACTTGGCGGCTAACAACCAGCTGTAACTCTAGTTCCAGGGTATTTGACACCCTCTTCTGGCCTCCTCGGGCATTGCATGCATGTGGTACACTCACAAACATGCAGGAAAACATTCATACACATACAATTTCATTAAAAAAATTTTTTTTTTAGTCTTTTTAAGACAGGGTCTCCCTGTAGCCCCAGCTGGCCTGGAACTCACTATGTAGACCAGGCTGGCCTTGAACTC